GCCGCTGCCGGGAGCGCTGTCCCTGCCCTCGGACTCCCCCCGGGGCTGGGGGGCACCGGGGATGCACCCCTGGACGGCATCTCCTCCCTGGACGGGCCGGCGGGCACCTCCTCCCCGGGGGGGCAGAGCATCCCTTCTTCTAGGGGGGCAAAGCAGAGTACCCCTTCCCCCCGGGGATCCCTTCCCGGGGGGGCAGAGCATCCTTTCCTCGCGGGACAAGGTGTCCCCGTCCCCGGGGGGGACCAGAGCATCCCTCTCCCGGGGGGGACACAAAACCTCCCTTTCCCACGGGACAAACCCCCCCTTTCCCCGGGGGGACCAGAGCATCCCTTCCTCCGGGGAGAGGGGGCGGGGGGGGGGACAGACGACTCCTCCCGCCCCAACCACCCCAAACTACCGCACCCCAACTGGAATAATCCCCCACACACCCCCCTCCGCCGGAGGGGAGCCCCTGACACGCGTTATTTGCTTACAAGGGGCCCGGAGGCAGCTCAGCCCCCGGGGCTGTGGTCTCGTTATTAAGCAGTTCAGTTCGTTAATATTTCAGGCCTGACCCCGGCGCGGAGGATGTGCAGAGCCGCCCTGACCCCGGCCTGCCTCCTTAAAGCACTTTTGTAATCAGCTGTTAACTATACAAATAGCCTTGCTGCTAAGGATTATCAGATAATCGTATTTTATTAACTGTGAGAGGCAGCCTGTAAATATTTAGTTTTATTATCTCGCCGGGTATCAAATATTACTCCAAATTTCCCACTTACGGATTTTGCCCTCCTTCCCCAGCTCGGAAAAGTTGTGCAAGTTTAATTTTATTATTTATATTTTGCGAGGTGGTAAACATTTCGCTTTGTTTGACTGGAGTAATTGTGTAAATCTTATTAGCAATATGCATATTTACTGTAGTGCTATGCAATGTTAAATTGGTTTTAAATTATATAATTACTACTCTCTATTCCTAAATGGATATTTAGAGCAGGTTGGAAATTGTTCTACTTTCCGGGACCTCTCCGGGCGATTGCGGGGCGCCTTCCCCGCACCTCCACCCCCCCAAAAAATGGGCTTTTTGGGGTTTTTGTGTGTGTGGCAGGAGGGAAAATGGCAGGTTGGGGCCGGGGG